ACATTTATGACGTTTTCTTTTCTCGTGCTTATCTTGGTGATCACTAAGATCTCTATAATTAGAGAAGCCCAAGCCACATTCATCACATTTGAATTCCTTTGTTTGTCTCTTATTTTGTTCATGGCGTTGTAAATCATGAGATGTCTTGAACGATTTGCCGCATTTACATTCTTACTTGCGTTCAGACGAATGGTTTTGTAATGGTACTCCGAAAAAGCCACTTGACTACAAATATCACATTTGTAGGGGCCTTCTTGCCGATGTCATGCCTCATGCTGTCTGAGAGAAGATTTACTGGCAAAGAATTCACCACAAAATCGACACACATTCATTTTCTGAAATAAGATATAAATTTGAATGTAAGAAGCAATTTATTTTAAAATGTAGAGTATAAAACATTATCAAGATAGACAATTATTCACCAGGTTTTTAAATAAATACCTAAACAAATTGCATAAATAAATGTTAATTCTAAACATTTTCTAGGATGTAGATTTTAAATAATTCTTCAAATGGGACATGCAATCCGCTTTATCATTTTATAAACCTTAGACTGCTTCGGATAAATGTACTTTCTATCATTTGCATAGTTATGTGTACGCAGTATCTGGATTTTTTAAGTGTACGCAATATCTTAATCTCTGTTTTCTGTAAATAGTGCGTTTTGAATACTTTTTTAGTACAAATGAATTGGAACGAAGGTTGAAAATATATTTTTGAAAAGGATTCTACAACATTATAACTTCCAGCCGTTTAAAACGGCCAGTTTAATCGATATTTGCTCATTTTCTGTAACATTTCAACGCCGGATGTACGCACTATCCCGAATCAAAATCGCATTCAACGCGAAATACTGACAAAACAGGAAAGAGTGACTTGAAGACATTTTGTATATAAAAACTAGAAGTTAGGGCATCTACTTTGCAAAACAAAATTAAATTCATACCTTTTCTTTACACCACTCGTTTATCTTCGAAATACCGGCCGATGATGTGTTCGCGGTATCAGAACTTGAAGGATGCGCGCGCATGGATAAACCCCTTGAAAAAATATGTACACACAACACTTATGTTGCGCTGAACAAATTTCAAGGATCGAAAATATAACATCTTTTATTACATATACGTGGCGACATTTACGGCCTCCGCACTGCACAAATAACACTGATAGATAAATAAAATAGGGAACAAAGCCTCATCAATCAAAATATACTCCCATCTTAATCAAAAATGACCTTGATTTACTAGTATTAGAATCATAGCCTTTTGTTTTTAAAATATAAAAATTAGTGATCATATGTCTCGCCTTATGATAGCCAACTGCATGTTGCAGCTACTGTGTAGCAGGTGACACAAAAGTCATTAACAGGGCAAAACGCTTTTTTATTCAAGGGTCATAGCTTGGGCAAACAATCATTCAGCCGTAAAATTCAAGTCATAGGGGCATGCACTTAAGCTACCTTTCAATCCTGTAAAGTTTCTTTGAAATTGCATTAGTGGTATAAAAGCAGTAGTCCGGACAAACTTTAAAAATAGGAAATATTAAAGGACCATAACTCCGATAATAATCATTCAACCAAAAAATTCCAACGATAGGCATAACTAGACTTGGGACTGATAATTTTTCTGAAGTTTGGATGTAATTGCACCAGTAAAGTTTGAGAAGTAGTCCGGACAAGTTTTGTGACGGACTGACAGACAGACGAATAGAGCGCTGTCGGGTTTATTAGGACATCTAAGGCATATTTGTTACTGTGATTTTAAAAATGCTTGTTTCAGTAAAAGTATTAAGTATATAGGATAAACTATGTAAGACTATCTTTTATATTGGGCCACTGACATATGCATATGCAAAACAAACACGTTATGCCTCGTTAAAAAGAACACTATGAAGAGGCAGTTTTGGGACGTGTCGGGTATTTATGGACACCAAGACGGGCATTTTGGGACAATATATTTTTATTATAAAAACAGAACAAAACACTAGAATACTAAATTTAATTTTGCAAAATTCATTTTTTTATTGCAATGTATTTAATTTATTTAAAGACTTGGAGTCTAATAAAAGAAATTCACTATGTTTCATAAAGAGTGTATAAGGTCAAATGGTTCAACTGTAGTTTCATATAGAGTATATGATGTCAAATGGTTTAACCGTAAATCAATTTATCTGTGTTCATTTCGATTTCTATAATAGTTCATTCAAATTTGCATAACTTAAAAAAACTGTAAACAATGGGCTGTCGACCAACAAATCTTACATCTAACAATAGTCGCATTCAAAGTCCAAATCAGCTATTTCACCTTCGGTCCACAGACGCTTGGGGGTCAGATCCTGCCCCCAACGAGATACGCCCCTGTAAACACTCTATCAAAAATATTTTATATTTAAACACGAATGGGACATCTGCTACAACAATACAACTGGTTTTCAAACAATTTTTACATATCAGAAAAAATATTACCTTTTACCATATTTTGATAAGAGTGTTTACAGGGGCGTATCACGGGGGGGGGGGGGAAGATCTGACCTCAAGCGTCTGGGCTTTGGTCATGGAAAACAGATTTATGGTTTTTACACACAACCTATGTCGCCAACGACCACAGGAGTGGCACATAATCCAGTCATCGGTTTTATTATCGTAAGGAATGTCGAAAGCGTAGCATGCCTGTTTAATGCTAGTATCCATGTCTGCCAAATCATCGTCATCGCAATATACTGATACATCTGAATCTGACGAGTCAGATTTCCTTTGGCGTTTCTGCTTTTCACGCTCTTGTCTCTCAATCTGTTTAATCCTCTTTTTTTCTGCCATTTCTTTAAGCATTTGTTCTCGTCAAGTCTTTTTTCCTGCTCTTTCATTTTCTTTCCTTTGTTTTTCTTCTACTTTTCGTTTGTCTAGTTTGTTCTCTTTCTATCTTTTCATTTTATTTCATTTCAATTTCGTCTTCCTTCTCTTTTACAAATCATGTAATTTTTGTCAGATATTGCTTTTGGAAGTATCAACCTTTTTCTTACTGGTTTTCGTGATGATGCTTTAGCGACAGGAAGTTTCAATATTTAATGAACGGCTGGAGATATAGTGGTTTCAGACCTACGGACATTAAGGCAAACGTTTGGATGTGTTTCACCACGAGAAACGTCTGATAGTTTGTCAGGGGGTTATTGCAACAGCAGGTGGAATTGTCGATATAAAAGGCATATTACTTGTAGCATTTGTTGCCTGAGCAAGTGCTGGTGTTTCTTCCGCGTAACAAACTCACCAACATTACTGATCTGATAATCATTAACAGCTTGCTTCCATGTTCCCTTTAATGCACTTAACAGTGCAATATCACAGGGCTGCATTAAAAGAATGCCGTGTTCTAGCAAACAATACAAAATAATATCATTTTCTCAGCAAAATTTTGCTGCCTTAAGTGTAGCATGAGTTGAATGACCATCATCAAACAATACAATTGGTAGTCTTATACTGTTTTCTTCGAGCGCCGGAGCAAACACATCTTTAAACCAAACAAAACAAGTCAGAATCCATCCAACCTGTGTCTGTACGCCCTCGGGAAACTTATCAAGGGGGTTATATGTAAATTTCTGTCCTGCATATACAACAAGAGGCCACAGATATAAACCAGCAGCATTCAGCATTCATACTGACCAACACAGTAATTTATGTTTTGTCGGATGACGTGAAATTACATATGTTAGGAACACCTCTTGGGGCTAATACTTTGTCGCTTTTAGGACATAAAGGAAAGCCGTATTCGCCTGCATTAAACCATCTTGTGGGATCTTTCAATAAAAGAGGGTGGTTCACCTCTTCAGACATAAATTAAAAAAATTCAGAAATTGTTGTGGTGATCTAGCAGACAGTTCAGGGTGTCTCTTTAAAAACAGTCTTTCCCGGGTCCACAGTTTACAAATGGGCATACTCTCCCATCCTGCTTAATTATGAATTGTACAGTGTCTAAAATATCTGCTCTCGTTCTACCAAAACCCATTTTGGCCATTTTAATCGCAAAGTCTGCTATCATATCCTTCTCTGCTTTCGTCAACACTGTTCCAAGGCCACTGTGAGAGCCGATATCAGATTTACCATTTACTTTATTGGACAGTGTAGTTTGAGGTATGCCATATACTTTTACTGCCTTTGCTCCTGGTCATACTAACAGCATGACTTAAAGTTTCATTAGAATAATTCCGATACTGCTTAGTCTATAACTTGCGACTCATTTTGAAATATAAAAAAATAGAAGCACTTCACAGTATATCTACTATTATTTAAAATGTGTGGCAGCTGTAAAAAGTTGCCCCGTACTTTACTTCAGTGTTGTTATATTTTTCTGGTCCTTCGGGATCATTGGTGCCGGTACTATTAAATGTTGATAATTGAGTACCGCTCAAGCCAGTGCTAGGGGGCGTGAGGGATGTTGCATTTATGCATTATTCCTCATGTACAGACTCAATCAAACCGAGTCTGAAATTCTTATGTATTTTTTAGGGATCACTTTGTTTCCAGATTTTCATTCTGAAATAAAAAAAATGAAAGCACTTCGTAGTATATCTGCTATTATTTAAAATGTTTTACCTTTACTAAACATAACTTAACCGAGTAAATAATACGTTTTCTCTACTAAGTTACAAACTATACTTTTTAATAATTATATCAGTGTCCCAAAACACCTGACATCTATAAAATGTTGTCGGGAGAACTAGAACCACATTATATAATGAATCAAGTTGTCAAAACATCTTACAGACGCTCACACGTTGATCAAGAGATTTTTGTACCCTAAAATGTAAGTTTGCTTGTACAAAAAAATATCACATCAGATTTTTTTATATTAAATAGTTACTATAATTTCTTAAGGTTATCATAAAATAGTGTCGTGATCCTCGAACATTTCACAAACACTTACTTGAACGTGCAGACGCTGAGTAGACGCTTGCAGGAAACGGACGACTTGATTGCCATTTTAAAGTGAAGAACTAAATCGAATAAGATGTGTAAGCGTTATAATGTGATGTGGTCCAAAATAGCAGATGGTTTACATATACCCGACATCGCTCTATACAGATGGACAGACGGACAGACAGACATACGACGGAGAAGTGTCAATATATACGTCGCCAATACTTTGTAAAGGGGATACTAAAATTATTCTTAGGCAAATGAATGACAAAAATATATATAATTGATCTTATTTACTCAATTTATGTTTAAATGACATTTTAAAAGTCTGTAAAACTACTACATGTATATATAATTTTTTGGGGGGCTTTAAACGTAATTATGTCTTTATAACTATGTTGAACGAATTTAAAACGCTGACATACTTACCGAATAATTTTAAAACAAGTCGTGTTACTAGAAAAAACTCAGGGTATTACAATTACATATGTTGTGGATACTATAAGATTAAAATAAGTCTTATTCATTCATTCGACGGGTTCTTAAACGTTTTCATAGTTCTCTATAACAATTATTGTGAAATTAAAATGCTTTAACTTGACCCACGTGGGTCATCCCAATGTAAGACAGGTCGCATGTTTTAAATGACGTCAATCTCACACGCTCTCTTCTTAGGCTACCGTTATGAATGAAGTAGTAAATTTATACGCTACTTTAAGAAAAAAGTGTTAAATGAAGATATCAGTTTTCATCAGTTTTTCCAAAACAATATTATTTTGTAATATGCAAGTAAAAGAATCAAACACCTGTTGTTGTCACAGACAGGAAAGTGTAGTTCTCGGGTAACTGTTAGGCGGAAACTCGACAGAGCCCGGTTACCGCGATAAACAGTTACCCTCGAACTAGATATTCCGGTATGTACCGACAGGCGGTGTAAGATACGGTTAATTAGACGGATATTTGTATCATAGTTTGGGGACCTTTCTGTTGAAAATGTGTCAGAGTTAAATCGTATACATATACATGCACAGTGCGTTAACTGGAGTGCAGGTATTAGTTACCCGCACTCCAGAGCATGCCCATTGATTGGCTCATTTTTGCTGGGGTTTACTTATTGTGACGGAAGAGAAAGGGAAAGCGACAGAAATATCATATTCAGATGCTCGTTCATTGGTTACTTTTTCCCGGGGTTTCATATTGTGACAACAGGGAACGTGTTTTTATGTTTGACTATGATACAAAAGAGAAAGAACATCAAAACACTCGGCAATCTGATTAATACTCGGGGGCTACGCCCCCTCGTACAAATCAGATAGCCTCGTGTTTCGATGCTCTTTCTAATGCTTGTGACATGTGCACTTTGTCGAATATTATATAAAATTGTCATACCATAATAATTAACTAAACAATGAAAAACTGTAAGAAAATAAAATACGGTTCTGTTGTATTGAAGGTATGACTGGGGTGCTAATTTGGACTTTATTAAGAAGCAAAGTGGATGTCCAAATATAGATGAAAATGTTGACAAACACGTGCCAATGGTATGGGGCTATGGAAGCTATTTTTCACAGTACTATCTCAATAATGAAGCGGCCTTTCTCATGGCATTCAACGAACCAAATCACAAGACCCAATCAAATATTGATCCGGTACAAGCAGCGAGTGTTTGGGGAGAGGTAGAAGCACTGGCAAACGGGAGGCCAATAGTAAGTCCTTCTCCGGCAAGGTGCGATGGTCCTAATTGCTTATGTAGCACGGAGGAATGGTTTGATGCGTTCTTCGCGAATTGTAGCGGCTGTCGTGTGGACTACCTAGCTACGCATATGTACAGCTGTAACCCTTATGAAACTATGGAATTCCTGGAGAATCTGTACAACAAATACGGGCTTAAAATATGGTTAACGGAGTTTGCGTGCCCTTATACTTGGAATGACGCGGTGCAGCGTGCATATATGGAGGCAGTTCTACCAATGCTTGAAAGTGCAGCTTACATTTACAAGTAAACTATAACCATTTTTAGATATATTTCATATTGTAAATGCGAATTTTGGTTTGTTATACAGTCGAACTTCGTTCGCTCGAACTCGGAGGGCCTGTGCAAATTTGTTCGAGAGATCGGTAGTTCGAGCAAACTTTAAGAACTTAAGAATACGTTCAGTCTCAAAGTAAAATTGTAGCTTGCTCAAATGATATTTTACAGTCTTTCTACATATTTTTGTTGAATCAATTAATTACAATTTTGTTGTTGTTTCTAAATTCATAAGATGTCCTATTATGGTATGGGTTTACTCTTCTTTGTTACAAAAAAGAAAACAAACACTTGACTGTATAAATGTTGCTAACCAAGTAAAAAAATGATATATTGTAACAGTTTTCAAAATGTACTCATTTGCAATATAGATAATCTAGCTTTTGCTCTATTTTATTTTTTGGCAATTGGTATATTTAAAATGTAATCATTTTTTTGTATGAAAGTTATTTTTTTTTAGATTTTTCTACGGGACATAGAAAATAGACACAATCCTGCATGTACGACTCTTCTTACTTCAGTCCTGTAACATCTAACGAGCTCTGAAACGTTTATTATTCAACAAATGTTTACGAAAGACCGGTGGGGGGGTGGGGTTGGCGGACATAATACATATCAATTTCACATATTCACAATATCAACTTTATTAAGTTTATGAAGTTGAAATCGTGAATTCTTAAGTTTATATCATGAATTCGTAAAAATAAAATTGTGAATTTGAAATTGTGAATCCACGAATCTGAAATCGTGAATTTATGAAGTTGAAATGTTGACATTGTGATCTTATGATGTTGAAATCATGGATACGTGAAGTTGAAATTGTGAATTTATGAAGTTTATTTCGTGAATTCATGAAGCTGAAATCATGAATTCATGAATTCCGTGTGTTAAAAGTGTAAATTTATGAAGTTAACATTGTAAATTCACACAGATATAAACGGGAATTTTTTTTGTTGTTGAAATGTCCCCACTAGTCTTTCGTACTTTTTTTCTGATGAATATTGAGCCTTCACACCGTGGGCGAAAAGTTAACATTGTATCAAACAAACATCATTTTCCGTTTGATATTCAAGAAGATCTTATATTCGTTAGTAATGTTCGATTTCTTTTTGTTTCTAGATATTCCTGGTTTGTGTCACGTGTTACTTTCGAGACGAGGACTGATTTTATTGACATGTCGGCTAGTTTGCTCGAGCCATACTCTTCCCAGCTAACATGGCTTTGTAAGGCCACATGTGTCACAAATCACATTCGTCACAATTGTGAAGAATGAGATCACATTCGTCACAAATTTTGTGATGCATGTGATCCAATGTTTTAGACAATCACATTCGTCACGAGTTTAAAATCACAAATGTCACAAATTTGAGATAAATATTGTTTTCTTCAATGCTTTTCACTGAGTCACAAACGTCACAAATTTTTAGGACTGAAATCAATTATTGGAACTAAAACTACAGACATTTTTATCCCCTCCCCCGCTGATGAAATCGGGAGTGATGGGACTGTTTTAGCGTGTTCGTCCGCCTGTCAGTCCAGATTTAGTTTCCGCACTATCCGGCCATTGATTAGTTATTATACACTGTATATGGAATCATTTCGTTTCCACGCTATTTTTCAGCAACTTCTGGATGGATATCGATGCTGCAACTTTGTAGGAACCTTCATTCACAAACCAGTTGCACATATAACCAGCATATCTCCATTTCTTTTTAAAAACAGACTTATTGCCCCTTGTTGTTGTTGTTATTTATAAAACACTGTATATAGAACTATTGCTTTTCTGCGCTCTAGGAATTTCAACGAAATTTAGTTTAATATAAAGAGGAGATGCGCATCTCGAAAAATCTCGACGGGACACTAAAGGATTTGGTCCGACTTGAGGGTACGGTCGCTTATATGGGCTTTCCGGCGGCGACTTTAGATAAACACATAAACAAACAAACAAGATGTGCATATCATCATCATCATCATCATCAGTATTTCCCGTTTGGCCGTTTAATACAGAGTTATGATCCATAATTTATTATCATTTATTGTTCATAGAAAAGCATTAATTCAACCCTATTCTTCAACAAATCTGCTGAATAATTTAAACAAAACTATGTGGGTACATCTAATACCAAGCGGAGATGTGTATATTGACGGCACTTACCCGAAGTTAAGACCCCTGGTTGCTTAATATTCAGTCAGATAACTTAAGTATTTCATGTCTTCAAATGTTAAATATATCTAATTTTAATTGTGTGGGAACCTTCAATACAAAAAGGGCATGTGCATTATCGCCGTGACCTTGAGTGATATGGGCCCTGATAATTTATGCTTTAACCGACTATTTCCCCGGAGTCTTTATTCGAAATGTATCCTGCAATTGTTTAATTTTCAATCAGTATATGATGCTGTCGGCGGTAAACATTAATTCAGCGAATTTGCTTGCAAGATATTTGAATGACCTCGTGTAATTATAGCTTCGCAAGACCAATCATATTCTACAAGAAATGTTAAGTTTTCTTTAAGTTTATTTATTCAACTTCCTTCATGATTCTCATTTAACCCTTTCCTTTATAGATATTACTGGTAAAATAACTATATGAACCGCGCCATATTGAACCCTAGATGAGCCGTCAGTACTAAAGAACTCTGATATAATATAGGAATAACGCATGTTTCTTTTTTCGTGTTAAAATATCTGTAGAAACCCAAGGGATTAGTTGGTACCCGACCCAACGTATCCCGAGGGTTTCAGCAGTTGTTATGACACGGAACAATCATTCGTTAACGCTATTCTAGCATAAAGCATGCATAAATCTAACACAATCCATACACAATCAAGCAACATCACTGATTTTCCTCGGATTGCACGGGAACGTCAGCGTTGTATGTGACCGTGACGTCATTTCCGTTTTAGTTAAGCAGCGTCCGGGCCACAATGTATTGACGCTGTGCCACGGAAAACGTATATCAAAAAGGTGTTTTAACAGCGCATGAGCGCTAGAATCTCCTTGTTAAAAGACCTTTTTGGTCCTGTTAAAACACCCCGAAATCATGGTTATAACGGCAGTTTTATGCTAGAATATCTCGTTGAATAAAATAATAAAATGCTCGGCAGAGCCTCGCAATTTATTATTTTATCAAACTCGTTTAATAAATTCAATATGAAAAGACACTCATGTAATATCCTATATTTATTTGATGCTAACTAATGAAATACTGTTCTATCAATGAAATATATTCATATTATATCAGTCACAGTGTGGTGATATAGATTTGGGTGATATAAGCCACGCCCACTCTGCGTACGTATTTATAAGTCTGGATTCCCTAAACATGCATTAAAAATAACTGTTTAATTTCATTCTAAATGACATATTTCTCGATTCAAATGTCCGTAATTTTGTAAGATTGTTGACAATGAGACCGCAAAAAGAAATATAAATAAATAAGGATTATTTTGCTTGCAGCGTTAACGTTTGCCGTCATATTGTTTACGCGCGCGTAGTCTCCGCGCTTCAGTAGTAAACGGTCTAAAAGCACTTTTCAAAAGGCACATAAAATAAAAAGAAAATGTGTTTGCTTTTCGTGAATATGAACTATATCTCACATCGAAGTGAGAAAATGTTCATATTTTCACTCGCGCTACGCGCTCGTGATACATATTTCATTTTTTTTCTCACTTCTCAGTGAAATATATTTCATATTCACTCAAAACAAACAAATATCCTCTATAAAATTCACTAAACACCGTCGTTTGAAACTATCTAATCATAAAAGGCGAAAAAAGCTAAGACGCGTCGAAACGATAAAGCGGCCCCGCCACAAAGACACGATCTGTTTAAACGAATTAACTATATTATTATTACTAGTGGAATAGATATGGAAAGTTCCATAGAGCGTCTGCAAGCAATTGGCACAGACTTGCAAAATCGTCTCAGGAAAGAAGGTTCCTAGATGTCAAAATGTCATACTCTTTAATTGAACCAAGATTCCTGAAAGTCTGCGGAAGTCAAAAGTCTGTCAGACCAAAAAAGGTTCATTGATGTCAAAAGGTCCTAATCTCTAATTAGATATCCTGAAAGTCAACGGGGGTCTCAGCTACTTCCCAAACAATCATATATGGTCTCATTGGTGTAAATATGGTCATAATTTGTACTGAAACTAAGATTAAGTCTGTGAGATTCCTTTAGACTGTCGCTGTATGGTGGGAAGAAATTTGAGGGTTCACAGAGGTAAAAGATCACTTCCAGTTGAAGTCTGATACTATGCCGTGCATTGTCACCAAAATTTTTTGAAGGTTTCGAGAACGTAAGACGACTTGATAGCAATACCATTACGACAATGCGACAGTTCTATGAAGACAATACAATGCCGACGATACGATATTGCAACAAGTTAGTACGATGGCGATAATGCAATGGTGGTGAAAAGATATTGGTATCGTGATGTCGACATCACAATATCGATTTATTGCATTGTCGCCCTTGTACTATCGCACTGATATAACCACGATTGTCCTTATGATATTCCGTGTATCACATATTGAAAAATAAACTTGTGACATTTGTGATTCGCCTGTTTAAAAATTCTCAATTTTGCTTGTGACGTTTGTGATTGGCATTTTTACCCGATTTTGGTCAATCACATTCGTCACAAAAGTCATTTGTGACGAATGTGATCACATTCGTCACAAATTCATAAAAACTTGTGACGAATGTGATTTGTGACACATGTGGCCTAACATGGCTTGGTGAATATTACAACTCCTTTGTATGGCAGGAATGAAACAGGAACCGGAATGTATCAATATCCACTTATCGTGTTACCTTTTCGTTTGACATCACGCAAATCAGATTATAAATTAAAAAAAAAAATATATATATATATATCTAACCAAGATGTTCTTTGTCTTAATACCACTTCAACAATGATATCATCGGTAAGAAAATACCTTTTTCTTTAACAAATATAAAAAATAGCATTTTAGAGATATCACAAATACACACAAAGAATGATAACATTTCAGCTTCAATATAGAATGATAATTAGTATAACATCTATATTGATTAAAAGTTAAAATTTAAATAAGTAAATTTGAAAAAACTAAACATAATTAATTAACATTTTGAAAGACAACAAGTGTTTGAGAAGAAATTAAGACTAAAGAAGCAACGTTTGTATTTTTTCAGAGCACGATAAAATATATCTACCCGTGTTTCTTGTAGTACATGTAGTACAGTAACTAGTCTGAACTTATTCAGGCATAATAAGTAATTATAAATTATTTGTTTTATGCTTTTCATTGGATTACTGATTTATCCGTGAAAATTATATTTGATAATTTTACAGTGAAAATTATCAAAATATAATTTCACACTTTTCAATGACGAAACTACTGTTTTAAGATTTTCCCCATGTGGTACCTCAATTTTATTTTTGCTGACCAGTAACTCTGAAAATGTCAGGCTGTTTAAAGAAAAGCAAAGCAAAAATTGATAAATAACTTAAATGTCAAAAGTAATAAAAAGAAAAAAACTTACTTCTATTCATTCAAATTCCAATCACAAAAATCCTTCTCTAATTTTTTTTTTTGGTGTCATTTTTACAGTCTGAAAAATACATTCCTTCCACATGCAACTGCTCTTGATGACATTTGAGTATATTAAAGTATCATACGAGCAATAACTGCCGTATGCTTTATGAACAATTGAAAAGCAATGACAGCCATCAGCTCGAAGAATAAGTAAACAACCCAGCGTTCCTGAGCCAGCCTTTGAAGTTTTCCATTTTCCTAACTGCTTTTTGAATGTTTTCACATCTGTCAACACTTATTTTTTGTATGTTAAAATCCTCAAATAAGTTTTCTTTCTTTTAAAAAGGTGTATGACTAACTAATCCAAATGATAGCTCTCTGAATCAAACACAATTATTTTCTCCCGTGAAATACACAATTTTAAAAAATGGCTGCCGCTTACATTAGCCAGGTCTAATATAAATTCGGAGTAAGTAACAGAACTATGGAAGGATGGTTGGACTTTTTCTCTTACAAGAATTGTTTGTTTTTATTATTAAAACAAACGATCATTCATTTTTTTTAATGAAATGAATAATATCACCGTCATTTTACGTTGATTGTCGAACTTATTTTGTCAGCACAAAACTTATTGTATTTCATGAGAAATTCCGACTAAATGGGGCTCACAATGGGGAAAACAGATTAAAATATTAACGTTAATATTATGGAAATTTCGTTTTAACTTGTTTTAAAGCATAAAATAAAAAGAAAATTTGTTTGTTTGTTGTGTAAGATATATTTTTTTCATCTCGTGAACTTTAAAAACAGTATTCTCACTCGTGGCTACGCCACTCGTGAAAATACTGTTTTTTAAGCCCACTCGATGAAATAAATTTCATCTTACACACTAACAAACAAATATCCTCAAACAAATATCCTCTATATATATTTGTGAGTTCACCTTACGTTTGGCAACAAAGCAAGAAGAAATTTTACAGTTGATTGGAATGTACTAGGAATATACAAAATTCTTTTAAAATTGAGAAATATTGTGCATTTCACATACATATGTTTAAGCGATCTCCAAAAGCATTTACATATTTAATGGGATTTTTCACACTTACACTAGTACAATAAGCATATGATAATAGAAAATATTTACTGAAAATTAAATTGAAAATTGAGGGTTTTGCGTGGAAGTAAGCCTACAACTGTTATAATTAGGTCATAATTAACAATAAAATGACCTTTCTTAAATATTACAGTGAACATTAACAACTTATTAGTTCAGACCCCCATCACATGCGACACAAATGACGAAAAAACAATCATGCCCTGTTATGTCAAAAACTTCCATGGCGTTATCTTGCATTAACTTTTATACTTCCTATTCACGAATTCATTTGAATATTGAACAATTAAAGTACAATATCATACAAACAGTAGGCACGCCACAGTCGGGACTCGAACGCAACGACAGCTGTGGCGTAGCTGATAACATACTGGACCGCGTATGTAGAGACCCGATGGCCGGGTCCCGGCTGCGACGTGTCGATTTTAGTGTATGTTTTTTGTATATGCATATGTGCATTTCCTTAATAGCAGTTAGGAGATTTATACAGTATACAGTGGAAAAACGGAGTAAACTTCCTATTATGACAAAAAAGTACAAGTTAAGATATATGGGTTGTCACGTGGTTGTAAACGTAGACTTGGCATACGTTGAATTACACAGTCCTGCCAGACATGGTCCAGTGAAGTTACTTATACTTGCTATAACATAAAATATGACCAAATACTTGCTATAACATAAAATATGACCAAATACTTGCAATAACATAAAATATGACCTGATACTTACAATAACTTAAAATATGACCTAATACTTGCTATAACATAAAATATGACCTGATACTTACAATAACTTAAAATATGACCTAATACTTGTTATAACATAAAATATGACCTGATACTTGTTATAACATAAAATATGACCTAATACTTATAATAACATAAAATATGACCTAATACTTATAATAACATAAAATATGACTTTACACACTGACTACGTATACATAAAACTTTTACATGATTCCAATGTAACACCGATGGCCAAACCACAATATATATAGAACGCTAGCGCTTATAAATTAATAAAAAATGATTAAACGTAAACATCTTGCCATTTGAAAATAAATTGAATGAAAGATTAATAATTTGCATCATTTAATCACTGCACGCTTGAGGAATATTAATAATATATGAGAAATCCTCACCTACAATAAGATTAAATGCACCATCCAAAGGTCATTGACAAGTGTTTTTCAAAGATTCGAAAAATGTTGAAATATCATTTAAGATTTCTTGATATGTTATTGATTGATATTTAGAAAACTCGTTTAAATATAGCAACTATATTAAATTGCGATTAGTCTGAGGTGAGTTTAAATGTTTTTTCTTATTATCTATTAAAAAACTGCAATACTTTCGCATTTAATGATACACTGTTTATTTAATCTATATATTAACAATGTCATATTATGTTAATAAAGTTTCCATGCTGCTAAGAAAAAGAAAAATGTAAATCTTAATTATACATGTATATCAATAAGAAACCTAAATAAATAAATTGTGAAATATTCTGAAATAACATAAGATTATTTAGGTTAACATAAAAAAGGAGCCAAAAACTACTCCGAAATAGTTTTATATCCTTGAAAATATATCAAAATTCAAGGAACACAAATATAGCGTATTTACCGTAAAGTATCATAGAAAAATATTTTAGGATCCTGTGTTGTAAAAACACTTAAGTGAAATTTTATATATGTATATAATTCTTCGATTTTCAAACACCCAAGAATATGTTAAATATGTACTGCAAATGTTTATTCGCATTATAAGTAATCATAAAAATCTATGAATTCATTTCTTATTGATAGACTTTATCGGATAAAGATTTCTAATTACCTCCCTTTATTTACATGAAATGTAAATTCGGTTATATCTTTACAAATAATGCTTTTTTGAAATTACAATAATGATAAATCTTCATTTGAGCATCAGATTTATGATATAAAAGCATAAAAATTGTATTACTTGATCTTTAAAGCAAAAATGGTAATCCGTTTTTAATAAGGAAACCATGCGTTTCTAATAATCAAACAATATTTTTAATCTATATGTTTAATAAATAAACAGCATGCTAACACTTTCTTGTGTTTTTAAAGATATAAAACTTGAATAATGCATACATGCTGAAAAATAATCATCGTAACAAAATTATCTGATGTAGATGTATTTAAAATTTGTTAACCATTTTCTTTTTCTGGGCAATACATTAAAATCAACAACAACATAACAACATGTGTTAGTTACGTTATCTTTAACACATTTAATTGGTATTACATAATTTGTGTTGTTCAAATTTGTTTTTTATGTACAAGTCTTTGTAATTCGTCACAACGCTCAATGCAATTAAATTTTGTTCTCCTCTAAAATTCATTCCAGAAAAATCAACAAAAACAACACGAGTTACAATGAACTTTCACACACTTTATACATTTATTTACATTTAGTTTCCTTTCACGCAACTGACATCATAGTACGTAACGGAAACCTTTCCTACTTATGTATTAAAGATCCTGTATGTTTTGTGATTGATATTGTTACTGTGTGTATACCACACTTGCAAAACATATATATGCACATAATCATGCAAATAAAACAATTTTCAAACATCGAAGAATATGTAAAACGTGTACTACAAATATGTGTGCACATTATATTTAATCAATAAATTATTAGCATTCATTTCTTATAGGAAAATTTGACTTGGAATTTATAGAAAATAAATTTCTAATTACCTCCCTTTATTTACATGAAATTTTAAATTCGGTAATATCTTTATAAATAATGCTTATTGGAACTTATAATATTGACAAATATTAATTTGAGCATCATATTTATGAAATAAAATCATGAAAAAGAAGTGTTACAGGATCTTTAAACTATTTAACGCCTATGCACGATACTAGAATTAGTCAATTAATCTGACAGCCTTTTCACGATTCTTTAACATACTAGAATTAACGACAAAGTTTCTCCTACTTAATCTTATTCAACGCTCTATATACTCGTACAACTCTTTTATATACAACAAGAATTAATCATACAACAAGATTGCGTCTTTCGATTGATATTTATAATCACCTATGTTGCACAAGTCGTCATGGCAACTAGTCAAGTATATATTTTTCTGATTTAAATAAACACATTTTAAAACATTATTTTAACGTAACTCATGTTTCATAATTTCAAGTTCATTTTTAAATGTAAAATTTTCCTTAAGTTGCGATCATTCTTCCTTCCTGTGACTTGCATTTCTAAAATGTAGATCTTGTGAGTAGCAAAAAACTGCCGTAGAGTCTAAAATTCACCGGACATAATAAATATAATTCAGTTGCTCTTACATGCGCTTTAAAATAAATCAAGAAATCATACAAAGGAAACATCATTTATCCTGCATATAAGCAAATCAGGGTGTTTGTCAAAATGAAGGAAAGAAGTAAATGTGCTTTTAAGTTCATAACGTTAATAAAAACATTCTTTAAACTTAATAATTAAGTTTTAGGTATTAAAGAACTTACAAATGGAATATCGACTTACAAATGAACAGCATTTCTTTTACTAGACTTATGCAACAGTTAGACACTAATAATAATAATAATAATAATAATAATAATAATAATAATAATAATAATAATAATAATAATAATAATAATGATAATAATAATAATAATAATAATGATAATAATAATAATAATAATAATAATAATAATAAGAATAATAATAAAAATGATGATAATAATAATAATGATAATAATAATAATAATAATAATAAAAATGATGATAATAAATATAATGATAATAATAATAATTAATAATGATAATAAAAATGATGATAATAATAATAATAATAATAATAATAATAATAACAATAATAATAATAATAATAATAAAAATGATGATAATAATAATAACAATAATAATAATAATAATAATAATAATAATAATAATAAACCAATAAAAACAGATAAAAGGAACGACTTGTTTAAGATAAGGTTTGTCCATATAAGCAGATTGCATAAAAACATCAACAACAACAAAAACACAAAACAACAACAAAAAAAGAACGATCTTAACAGCTGAAAATGAACGACGTATTTATAAGATTTATTCGTTGACCTACTTATGTCCTCATAAGCCAAGACATGCCCCCCCCCCTCAAAAAGCAACAACAACAACAACAACAACAACAAACGATTAAAACAGCTAAAGAGGAACAACGTATACGATTAGGTCGTTTACCTACTTTTGTCCTCATAAGTCAAGACACGTCCTAATTATTGCTTTAACAATACTCCTATATTTAATTATAACTAGTTTGAACCGGGTCATGTAAAAATGTCGTAAAAAATTGCTTATCGATTAGAAACGAAAGAAAAATAGAATAGAAAATGATGAAATTGTATGCTTAAGATATCATTCAATTGTATTTTTATTAAATGTAAATGTGTACATGTAATGTATGTGTTATTGCGATTCGATACTTATAAGCACTGGTTTATCATGTGACTGTTTTATATTACATGTAAATGTATCAATTCTGTAAATATGGTACGATGAAGTACTTATGGTACAAATCTAATAAAATAAATATTCTGTTCTGCTCTGTTCATAAAACCATGTAATAAGATAGTGACTTTAATTTAAAAATGGTTTCGAACAGGACTTCTTAATAACTAAAGGCAACAAATGGGCATGTGAGAAAACAACGATTTAACAATTGTCAAGTGAAACTATGGTGATACTGTAAATATGTATGTATAAAAGTAAAAACAAATAAAAAAAGAAAATATTTTTTTTAATACAAGAATGAGATTACTACCTAAGATTGATATTATTACCGAGGCGTGGCTAACACTCCTATGCGCGCTGGTTCTTTTACATTAATTGACAGTATATATATGCGAAATATACTTTCAGAAAGTTTCAAATTTAGACCTTCTCGTTGTACAAAAATGTAAGACAAAGACCAAGCTGGAATAGACAGTCTCTATAATACTAGTACTTGATAGCTCTGTAAGAAAATAGCGTACCATATGATCACACCTATTCATTTACGCACTGGTATAAAATGTAAATTAGAAAATTCTAATTCAGTCAAAAATCACTAAGATAAACTCATGCAAAGAGTTCAAAAGTTCATTCCATTATTGTGCATGATATGATGTAAGGAAAAGCTATAAAAATTAATATCTTTTGCCAAAATCCCATTATGAGTTACACCAATTATACTTGTTGGACGTTATTCAAATACTTCAGTTCTGTTATGAAATTTGCTTTTCAGAACGTGGGAAAATTAGAGTTTGGTTGATATGAATTTAATTCATTTTACATCTGGATTAACGTAGCGTGGTTTTGACTCACTTTCCGTACATCATTCGTATCAAAGGGTTATAGACTGCAGCAAATATGAGCCGCGTCACGACAAAACCAACATAGTGGGTTTGCGACCGCGCAGTCTGATCATTATCCATGATGTTCGCTATCAGATTCTCTACTTGCTATATGGTTTGTAAGCGTACAGCATGGATCCTGATCAGACTGCGCGGAGGCACAGGCTGGTCTGGATCCATGCTGGTCGCAAACCCATTATGTTGGTTTTGTCGTGACGCGGCTCATATGATCATTATTTTGTGATAACCGCTTTCTATATTAAAAAGGTTTACCACACATTTCAAGCGACTTCGATTCGATTCGTGCGTCGATTGAAAGACGAATAAATAAGTACATTCAAACTGCATTTAGTAAAGTTGCTTTTTTGGTTTGGTATGTACACAGATTTCAAATCATTTTTGGTCATACTTCGGCGATCAGTCCACTTAACCGGCTTTTGTTTCTGGATAATAAACCAGTAAACACAAACGTCTAACCAAGTGACCTTCTTCTTATCCCAATATGATTTTCATCCCGTATTATTTTCATCCCGTATGATTTTCATCCCGTATGATTTTCATCCCGTATTATTTTCATCCCGTATGATTTTCATGCAGTATGATTCCTAAATCAGCGATGAAATACAAATGACCATTAGACCAGATTTTAACGATAATTTGTTATTTTGCTAAACCTAAACCTGGGGATCGAACCATCAATCATTTGATAACAAATCAGGTACTCTCCCTATTGTGCCAGGCGAATAGATAAATTACATGACAACTCATAAAATAATATTGGGTATGATAAGCAAAAAGTTCGTAACATGAAAGTGTGCTTTCAGATATATATTTTTTTTGTTCTGTTTCTTAAAAATGAAAGGATATTTGCCTGTCATAAGTGTACCCTTTAACATCATATTAAGCACTTTGCATCGGAAATAGAATTGTGAACATGTGTTTGTTTCTGTTGGTTTAACGGCGACACTGACACATGATTGGTTATACCATCCGAAACACTCTTTAATAAGTAAGCCTTAAATGAGTTTGTACAAGTGAGTTAATAAAATCTAAGAATACAAGTTTACTTTTAATTTTCCCAAAACAAAATCTATCACTAACCGTCAAATATCATGACATTCAAGAATGAATGAAAGTCAAAATAAGGTCTGTGTTTACATTTGGTTACTCTTATGACAAAGTATTCAAATTCAGCGCCAATGTCTTCAAAATTCATTTACTATTACTTAAATATGGTGGCATATTTCTGCCACCAGATAACCATATAACTAACTAGTTAATTAAGAGGTTAACTAGTTACGTAACTAGTTAACCTCTTAATAAACTAGTTAGTTATCAGGTTAACTAGTTACGTAAATAGTTAACCTCTTAATTAACTAGTTAGGTATCAGGTTAACTAGTTACGTAACTAGTTAACCTCTTAATTAACTAGTTAGGTATCAGGTTAACTAGTTACGTAACTATTTAACCTCTTAATTAACTAGTTAGGTATTAGGTTAACTAGTTACGTAACTATTTAACCTCTTAATTAACTAGTTAGTTATAAGGTTATCTGGTGGCAGAAATATGCCACCATATTATACCTAATTGCGTATAATATTTATGCAATATTATAATGTTGATAATAACAATATGAAAACCATATATATTTTTCACTTTTTCAGATAGGCTACTAAAATAGAGAAGCGGAAACCACTTATATTATACAGTGCAAAGTTTTGTTTCTAGGTCACTTTTCGGTAACATAAAATGTCATAATTGTATTAACGGCTATATTGTCTGTTAAATTAATAAGTCTAGTCGGAATTTTTGACATGTGTAAGTTAATTACATCAGGTATTTTCCGCTCTGTTTGAATAAATGCTCACAAATTAATCGTTTAAACATAAGACACACAAAAATCCCCATGTCGAAAGTGAAATATAACATTGTTGTTAATAACATTTACTTGAGGTGATGGAATTTGTTTCGAATTTTGAAATAATTTTACTCCTGTACTATGCTGCTGTTATAGTGCATGGCTCAGTTAAAAAAGGAATTTCTATCAACCCAAATAACTTTCTTTGTGATGATCTTAAAGTACTGGATAATGTTGTTTGGTGGTAAGTTTATCTTTTTATCATCTTATTTAATCAAGAGAGTGTATTAAAACGCAAAGATGTAATGCATGTTTGATGTTTGTCGATCATTAAAATAATATATAATTATCATGTTTAAATTTCATAAAGTTTTTGTCAATTTTAAAGTTTAAACGTTTTAAGTTTTTTTAAGTTTATGTTGTGTTACATCCATGATTGCATGCCATAATTATCATTGAAGTACTCAGAAGCGAAGACTTTGATATAAATGCAATACACATAGTTTTACACATTTATGATATAACATGCTTAAAATCCACTTAAATTAAGTATAACAGGAACTTAAGTAAGATAAATCTTTTGACTTGATAACGTGGTTAACCCATCAATTAAGCAGTTCTAAATATGTGTATCCGTGTAAAGATAAACATATGAGCCGCGTCACGACAAAACCAATATAATGGGTTTGCGACCAGCATGCATCCAGTCCAGCCTGCACATCCGCGCAGTCTGATCAGGATCCATGCTGTCCGCTTACAAACTCTATTACAAGTAGAGAATCCAATAGCGAACAGCATGGATCCTGATCAGATTGCGCGGATGCGCAGACTGGTCTGGGTCCATGCTGGTCACAAACCCATTATGTTGGTATTGTCGTGACGCGGCTCATATACACTCGTATATAACACTATTATACTATTTATACCAAGTAATTAAAACAAACGCGTGGTTTCAATAAATTAAACAAAATACAAAGGATTATTTAATAGATTATTATTCATGTATTTATTTCAATTGAACGTTAATTAATTGTTACAACGATTATTTAAGGTACGATTGGGCACCAAACCTGGATAACCTACGTCTTAAAAGTGGTTGTCTAAACGTTGACCAACATGCCGAAAATCATGTACCCATGGCATGGGGATATGGTAGCTATTTCCAAAACTATTATTTAATCGACGAAGCTGACTTTCTTCTAGGATTCAATGAACCTAATCATAAAGCGCAATCCAATATCTTAGCCGAGGATGCGGCAAGATATTGGCCGGAAGTTGAAATACTCGCTGCTGGTAGACCCCTTGTAAGTCCAGCAGCCGCTCCATGTGGGTCAAATTGTAACGGAGACACAAAGGAATGGTTTGATCTGTTTTTCAAAAGTTGTAATGGATGCCGTGTCGACTACCTGGCTACTCATGTCTATCTCTGTAATGCTGATCAGACAATGGAATTCCTAGAGGATTTGTACAAAACATACAATCGGACAATATGGCTGACCGAATTTGCATGTCCATATAAAACAGACCCTAAAAGGCAACTGAGATATATGCGAGAGTTATTACCAAGACTTGAGAAAGCAGAGTTTATTATTAGGTAAATACAAATTTTGAGTACTTTTATATGCAATATTTACCGGTACTGCATCAACATAATGGTTCCTTTTCTAAAATATAAGTGTTAACTATATTCATTATTCTAACATTTATATTTGTTAAAATGTAATTCTAACAGTTAAAAAATGCTTTTACATTTTTTAAACAATCATATGTTGGAGCAACATTCAACATAAAATGTACAATATACATATTGACATAAATAAAGATAAGCGCGAATGTTATAACTATTTCATTGTCATGTAAGATATTAAGCAATGTTCAAATATTGTCAATATCTTGTACAATATGTTGATTTGGTCAATAGCAATACACATTCAATAGGTAAATGTAATCAGTATTTCAAACACATTCAATAGGTAAATTTAATCGGTACAATGTATTTTGAACACATTCAATAGGTAAATTTAATCGGTATTTCAAACTAATTTCAGATACGCATGGTTTGTTTCTCGCGTGACAGAGATGACGCATACGAGATTTATCCCTACGTCTGTAAGCTTATTCGAACCTGATTCCTCTAACCTGACAGCATTAGGACAGTTTTACAACAGTTTTACTTCAACAGAGACAACATCCGTACGTACTACCTTAATGACGACCCAGAAAAATACAACAGCAACAACAACAACCAGTAAATCCGTGACATCATCAACAACACCTAGTACAATCACAGTTACAACAACGGGTGGTACACATTCAAATACGACTACAATTTACATTTCAAGTACAACTCAACGTAAAGAATATACAACGGAGGATGGTTCAATAATCAGTGAAGCTATAAAAGTTTCATCGATCAGTCCAATTCTGTTTCTCAGCACATTGGTACATATATACACTTTACTTTGAATTTGATTTGGACTGATGATACAGAATTGAAAGTAAACTATTTCCTAAATTTTGGATGGTTTGTGATTGCAACCCTTCCGTTTGTTTGCCCTTGTGCCCTGTCTTGTTTGGTCTCCGGCTGGGCTTCATGTCAGTGGTCCTGTGTTGGGGATGTGTTCATTGAATGCATCCCTTCCTTGTTGATCTAGTATTTCATAGTTTTTTTAGCTGCACTATTTATTTGAAAAACAAAGTAGCGTAAAATATTTTATTAAATTTTGCTCAATTGCAAAAAAAAAAAATTAAATTGAAATTCCTACAAATGAATGTTAACAGAACAGAAACTAACATTTTAATTATGTTTTCCAATTTGTTTACAAGCGATCAAGTGATGGAATAAGCAGATAAATTCGCTCAGCATGAAGATAAATGAGTGCAAGCTCATTTTAGCAGACCTTTTCGTAATAAAACACCGACAGACAGAGTGTTTATCTTTGATCTTATGTTAAGACATCTTTGATTGTTGTTCTGAAACAACTAAAACAAACCCTGGTATAATAAATAATATGTTAACATATTTCCCACGCCTAACATACAAATGAAATAAAAATCATAATACTGTTAGATCAATTTGTTTAATGTAATAAATATTATAAACACTTCATAAATAACTGTCTATTTCACAAAATTTATCAACTTCCGACGTGTCGAGGGTTTAAACCATTTTTTATCAACGAGTTTGCTGTCTGTTTGATAAAATTTAATTACATATGTATTCTCTTTTACATAATAAATGTAAAATATAATGTATATGTGAATTATGAAATAAACAACAAACTTCTTGATAAGGAGGGGTTAAAACCATCGACACGTCGGAGGTTGATAAACATTGTGTGATAAAAAAACAAGAATAAAGATCAACAAGGCAAAGGCAACGTTCACAGGACGCGGCCCCCGACACACTCAAAAAACCTAGAGCGGACATAAGGGTGAAATGTAATGTGAAATAATATTAACTAAAACGGGCACATAGGGGAATTAAAGGGATATAAGGGCTGATAAGTTGTTTTCAGAGTGATGTAAAACACTTCATATGCTTAAACATTAAACTTTATCACTAGATTATACATGAAAACGAGCATATTCATTTTAAAGGCGATTTGCTTTTACTAGTGAACAAAATGAATTCTCACAACCATATCGTATTAATTTTGTAGTGAGTACATAAAATAACTAAAAGACCATTTTATAATGCGTGAATCATGTAGTTAAAGAAACTCCTCTAATATCTAGAAGCCCTTTAAAACATCGTCTGAGACACTTAAACAGTAGTATATGCTAAAGATAAATCGTAAATCTTTCTTTTCATAACTTATTGAGTGAAAAACCAGTTATAGCGCTTTTAAATTTTGGGTCACTTTTCACAATGTTAATTTCTCATCGAGAGCAAATGATCACACACAAGTTATTAATTTAGACCTACATCAAATAAACTATTAATCACGAAAAGGATATTTCCACGAATTCATATCAAAATCCTCAGAGGAATCGTATTAAGTCACTTGTTAATATTTTAAACAAAATTCTTACATACTAAAAACAACTTAATATTACAAAACTGCATTATATTAACAATAGATAAATGCTAAGTGATACATAGGCAAATAACTTTATAGCCTCGTAGCACCGGCTGCGGCAGTATTGAATCTTCAAACAATTGAACAAAGTATCACAATGATCAATGATCATTAAAGACCAGCGGAATGTTTTATTCAAGGAACTTGTACAGAGAAGGAAACTTCTTTTATTTTGTTGCATTTCGTCTGGTAACCAAATAGCTTAATTTCTCTTGTATTTTATATAATTTATGTGGTTTTTTGTCATTTTACAAAATTGAATTTTTGGACATAATAAATTCAGTATTGCCATTTGAAATTTGAGACGGTGAAAAATAAATAAAAGCAAAATGACAAAGAAAAAAATATTTAAAAGATAGAATATGATATGAAAAGCATTTATTTGTTGCTGTTTAAATGTATAATTATTTATTAATGATATTTGTTAATGATGAAACGAAACTGAAAATTGAGGACAACAATTATAACCTACAAAAAAGAAACAACAAATTAGTTGTCAATTTCAAATAGAAAAATTGAATTATAAAAGCAAGGGAGGCTACTTCAATAAGCCACAGTTAAAGTATATCTGCGAAGAACGTCTCCCTTTACATGTAGATGTTATAACTGAATAGCTCATTTTGTATTACAAGCCTTTTTGTTCCTCAATATGTTTGAACTTTAGTAGTTTCGCTATAAAAAGTAAAGTTTTTTATGAAAGCTTTTAATGTTTAAACAATCATGATTTGTCGGATCTTAAGAGGAAACTTATGATGTGCTGTACCACGAACAAATAAGTCATTTCAAAAAGTTCATTTGGAAGATAATCATGCTCTTTAATAGATCATGTAGATGAAATGTTTGAAATATTCATTGTTTTTGTTGCTTTTATTAAAGTCTCAGAAATTATTTTCTATGAAGGGCAAACATGTCTGTTTGTTTAAACTTGTGATAATGGATATAAAACATTTCAGATTCATATCACTTGATAAAAATAACAAAATGTAAAACAAAGCGGTATTTCGACTTCAATACAAAATACGAAATCACTATAACTGTACTTCCAGTAATAACGCAAAAGAAACAAAAGATGACTTAGCTGTATGGTAACATTTTGATAACAAGATTTCAAAAATTAATCTATTTGGAATTAAATGAATTTTTATTGTAAGACTTAGTGGGTATTTACGTGCTGTTATAAAACACATGTAGCAAATACTAGGCAAACAAACAAACTATCAATACCGAATACATGCAATCTTAATGAGGCTTTCAATTATTTTTTGTGTGTGTGAATTGTAACAGTGACTGACAATCACAATATTTGGTAATTACGAACTGGTCATGATTATACGAAAATGGTGTTTGTTTATCGATGCAAAACAAAAATATTTTGTGAACTGTTTGAATTATATATGAAACCCGAAACATTTTCTGTTTTCAATTAACGAACGCATCAACTTTTATCAATTATATCAAATTAACACCCAATATTGCAATGCAAAACTGAAATTGCTTTTTACACAAAGTAATCAACCCACTTTTCAGACAAACTCGTTATCAAGAAAGGTTAGTAAACATATGAATTTTTGATGAATTGTTGCAAGTGTTTGCATGTATGTCACTCTGTGAATCTATGTTTGTTGTAAGAGAAAGAAAAATAGAAAAAAAAATGTGTCACCAACCTACAAATGTTTGTCAACTTGCGTATGCTACAATACAAAAAAAACAACAACAGTGACATCAACAACCAAAACAACAAAAGTGGAATCAACAACAACAAACCATGCTGGTATATTTAAGGTGTGATTTTGGCTGGGTGGGGGTAAATATAAATTGCTGTCATTCATTTTTTGAAGGAGCAATGCATGCAAACTATTATTTTCTTCAATGTATGCCATATATCATTGAATAATGCTGTGCAACTGGTTATCTGTCTGTGAAACAGATTTTGAAATATTTGGAATTGTGTTTCTGGTCTCACTGAAATAAAAAATTATTCATTTTTAGGTACCTTGCCCCCTATTGATATAGAGGATATTTGTTTAGTGCAAGTAAGATTGGAATATATTTCATAGAGTGAGCACCAAAAGGTATGTACATATGAACTTTAGGTGTTCACTAGGTGAAATATATTTCCATCTTACACTAAACTAAACATTTTTTATTATATGCAAAGAAGCGTTTAAAAAGACATTTAAACCTAGTACAAAATGAAATAATAATACAACGTGACGTCATTTACGACGCCATTTCGCCGAAACAACGTAACGGGCTTAAATTCATAACTGTACAGTGAAAAATATCAAATTGATATTTTCATCGTTTCAAACAGTGAAATTATCAGTTTATAATTCACAGATATACATTTATTTCTATAACCCACTAAAAACATGTAATAAAGGTTATTAAAATAAAGCCCTGCAATAATATCCAATTTGATAAGTAGGAGTTACAAAAAGAAACATATGTAAAATATCAATATTTTAGATAGCTATAAAGACAATATTCGTAAATAGGCAAATAAAAAACGGAGACGCATTATAAGACAGCAAATTCAGATACAAACAAATTTAAACAGCTTTGGTACACAGTTCAGTTTTATTACAAAAGTGTATCATAAGAAGCACATACAATGGGACAGTCAAACAATATTTGGTTCGTGAACAAAGAAATATTTCGTTTCGTTTACTTGTCAATAAAAAACTAAAATGAAATAAAAACCCTTTGATGACAATATACACCGAACTCGTAATAAACAAGAAATATCAACAACAACAAAAATGAAAACAAATACAATAACAAAACAAAAATGAAAAAAGTGAATTGATATTGCCGCAGATAAACATAAACAAACTGGTGTTTGCCTTCAATTTATATATTTGAATTGTGCATGTTTTATATATGTTTTTGAAAATGATACCTCTTTTGTGTTATACACGCAATATGTGGATAGCCTTATAAATTGATAATTAAACTAAGCGACTGAATTTCATTTACAAATAATATTGTTTGATCGCAATGTTCTCAATATGATACTCTCATGGCTTTTGCATCGCCAAATAGCTTTCATCAGGGTATTTGTATGATGTGAATACTTCTACCGCCAGTGCAAATAAAGGTCAATTATCTTTTCATAGATTTGATTAATGACATTTCTATTAAAAACACATTCATCATTTATATAATTATGAATTTGAATTAAAATGCACATTATTTCAATAAAAATGACACTGATGTTTTACACTCATTTATATACAGGGCATACGTTACCACGTTTTAAAGGAATCAATTTTTTATCAGTCGTTTTATTACTTATATGCTATTGGCATCTTACTTATCTTACTAATAATATCAAAAATAATGATTCAGTTACATTTGTACCAACATATTATTTTTTTGTTATCGTATGAATTATATTTTAATTTCATTGTATGCATCTAAATGATGTCAACTATCAGATGTCTTCTAAGTGCTCCAAGGACCTACGTGACTATTGTGACCTATTTGAAATAGATGAGACGTTTTATTCTTCCTAAGAGACATACATGATTAATGTCGTTACATATTAATTAGTTTAGGATTAATTCGATGTACGTGCAACATATAAGAAAGTATTCTTCTACAGAATCGTTTGCATTGTTTTACTTTCATGTGAATTTATCAAGGCATCC